ATAATTAAATCACAATTATTTTAATTTATTATAAATGCAGAAATGTCAATACTCCATCTTGAGAATGTCAGAAGAATTTGGGTTTAAAAGAAGATAGTTTATTACTCACCCAACTTGAATTGAAAACTTGTTATATAGAGTAACAGGTTTGCTAAGTGTCATGAAATACTTGTGAAAAATAAATTACTTTTTTTTCTGGGCAATAGCAGCATGTCTGAGAATTTTAATAATATTTTGCTCGGGTTCATATTTATGGCAACAGTCATCTCCAAATTCTCAATAAACAAATTGTTTAGGAATTCATCTGGCTATATGAATAGTGTATGAGATTACATTCATGTTGCTTTTGCCAACGTATTTTGCCTACATTTTTTCAAATGCATATTTCTGTTTGTACCTTACCAAAATTTCTTTGTTCTAAAATGTTGATAACTGCAAATCAATAATTGGATATGGTAATAATTGGTCCTATAGTTCAGGGGTCCCCAAACCACGGTCCATGGACCGGCATCAGGCCATGGCATGACAGAAACTGGGCTGAGCAAACAAGAGAAGCCCCCATCCATAAGATGCAGGCAACACATTAAACCATGCCCCCTCCGGTCCATGGAAGAAACCTTTCTCCATGGAACCGGTCCCTGGTGTCAAAAAGGTTGGGGGCTGCTGCTATAGTTAATGCACTGTTCCAGGATCATGTTGTACAGTAAATGTGTCCTTCCTACGCCTGGACAGCTATTAATGCAACCCCACAAGATCGTAAACATTTAACGTTATTATGTTAACATATTGTATAGTATAAATTTTGGGTAAGTGTTTGCTAACTTATGCTGCCTATTAAACTGTTGTTTCTAACTAAGTCAGAATAAGAAGGAAATACATTCTGGAAAGATAACTTGTAAAGTATAGCTATAAGGAATGTTAAGATTAAAGTTAGGCGCCTTATTTTTAAACTGGCAGTACGAGCCATAAATATTGAACATGGTTTTAAATGAGTCACTGCAGAAAACCTCAATCAAGGGAGAAATTCTGGCAAATTCTTGGTCACTTTGCTAGGAATATGCAAGTTAGGACTGAAAGTAGATGAGCAGCTGGAGGGAAATAAATAGGCCAATTCCAGGTTTATCTGATTTTTCCTCCCCATTTAAATATATATTACAAAAAACCATCTATATCCTGCATATTTAAAGCCTTTGTTAATTTGCACTTTATTGCTTCTTTTCCTTCAACTATCTTTGGAATATCAATAGCAAAGGAAACTGAGCAACTGATAGTTGCTGCTGTTACAGTAAGAAACTTTTAAAGCAGGGTCTGCAGACCAGTCCCAGTCCATGACCTTTTGGGAACTGGGCCACGCAAGCACACGAAGCTCCATTTGGGCAAGCGGCAGGCATGCGCATGAAACCATCCCCTCCCTCGCCTCTGTTGCTGGTCCGTGGAGCCGGAAAGATTGACGACCACTGTTTTAGAGGACAATCATTTTTTATCTGGACACATTCCTGTTTGCCCACACAAAGTGAGCTCCACAATCAGAGGAGGACTAAAGAGTGGCAAAAGACAAAAGAATCATCATGTCATTGTAATGCAAACTCCACCCCTTTTGTACATGTGTTGTGATATTATATGCAGGTAGAAAAAGAATGGAATAGGTTTTGAATTCAGATCTTAGGAGAAGAGAGAATAAAAATAGCCAGTTCAGCAATGGAGTCATTTAAGCATTTTTCCAGTTCCCTGGGAGCACTAGGCCTGATAGCATAACCGGGTCTTGAAGGCCTTCCAAAATATCAAAATGGATGAAGCTAATCTAATTTCAGGGGAAGAAGGTTCCATAAGGCAGGCACCACAGCAGAGAAGACACACCTTCTGGAACCCACCAAATGTAGATCCTTAGCTGATAGTGTCTGAGCATGCCTTCTTTGGCAGATCTAATGGAGTGGGCTGATGTAATCAGGGAGAGGCAGTCCCTCAGATAGCCTAGTCTCATTCCATGAAAGGCTTTAAAGATCAAAATAAGCACTTTGAATTGGACTTGAAAGAAAACTGGCAAGCCATGCAGCTCACAGAGCATTTGTTATCCTAGAAGACCGCACTGCTGAATTCTGTACCAGCTAAATCTGCTAGGTATTCCTCAAAAGCAGCCCCATGGAAAGCTCACTGCAGTCATTTAATTTGGAGGTGACCAGGGCATGAGTGACTGTGAGCAGGGCCTGCTGATCCAGGAATAGGCCCAACTGGCGCACTAGATGAAGCTATGCAAAAGCCCTCTTAGCCAGTACTACCTGCTTGTTGACCAAGAATCATAATCTAGGAAGATCCCCAGGTTGTGCACTGTGTTTACCTGTGGCAATGCAGTCCTATACAGCACCAGAGATGACACAATTGTAGAACCAATGGACCCCAAAATCCAAAGCCACTCAGTCTTGCCATCTGAAGCTTATTACTCCCCATCCAGATCTTCACAACCTTCAGACGCCATAAGACTTTCATGGTGTTGCTTAATTCCCCAGTGGTGGACATATAAAATTGGGTATCATACACATACTGATGATACCATATCTCATGGTGACAGTTGAGCTTATCCAGTGGCCTCATGTTGAAGAGGAGAGGTGAACATATCAAACCCTGTAGCACCCCACCTAGTAGGGGCCAAGGATGAGACTTCGCCCAAACATCACTGGAATTAACCATGAAGCAGGCAGACGAGCATAACGTTATGCTGCCCACCAGCAATGCTCTGAGCCAATCCAAAAGGATACTGTCACTGATATTATTGAAACCTCCTGAGAGGTCAAGCAGGGCAAGAATGGATTCACTACCCCCATCCTGCCCAAACCAGAGATCATACAAAAGCTAGATCAATGCTATTTCCATCTCATGTCTGGCTCTGGCTCCTGGCTAAAAGGGATTCAGATAATTTGCTTCATTCAAGGTCATCTGAACCTGCTATGCAATCACCTTCTCTACCATCTTTCCTAAAAAGGGAAGTTAGATTGGATTAAAATTGTCCGATATAGTGGAATACAACAATGGTTTCTTGAGGGAGTGAATCAATGCCTCTTTAAAACACAAAGGGACAATCCTCTCCTACAAAGAAGCAGGGGTAAAATGCTCCCAGTTCGGACCGGTAGAGATGGAGGCAGGTGGTTTGGAGAACTGGTAGCAAAAATCCCTCTCCCCCCCCCCCATTGCTCAGCTGAGCCACGCAATCATCAGAGGCTTTTTTTTATTTTTAAAAGCATTTTTTCTACAACCTCTTCGGCCAAACAGGTTATAGAAAAAATACTTTTAAAAGTAAAAACAAAGCCTGTGCCGATCAGGCAAGTCAGCTGCGATCGTCAGAGGCTTTAAAAAAAAGAAAAAGCCTCTGTCAATCAGGCAAGTCAGCTGGGATCATCAGAGGCTTTAAAAGCATTTTTTAAACAACCTCTTCAGCTGAAGAGGTTGTAGAAAAATGGTTTTAAAAGTTAAAAAAAAAAGTTGGCCACGCCCACAGAACCAGTAGTAACAAAATTTACATTTCACCACTGCAAAGAAGAATTAATCATTGCCAGAACCCACTCACACAAAATCCCCCAGCTGCTTTAATGAACCAGAAGGGACATGATCTAAAGAGCAGGGGGCCAAGCTCATAGTCCTAAAGTCCTGGCCACTTCCTCAGATCCAATAGGTTCAAACCATTCCCAATTAACTGGACAAGATTTGGTCGTAGGCTTCTTCTCTGGGCTTGCAACATAGTTAGTATAGAAATGGGAACGAATCCAAGCAACTTTATTCAAAAAATGCTTGCACAAATTCCTTTGCATGCCTCTGTAAGAGGTTGTCCATGGTCTCTTTATCCAACAGGGCCTATGTCACCTGAAACAGGACTGCAGGGCAGCAATTTGCAAATGCAAAAAGGGTAGAGAAATACCAACGCTTCACCACCCTTACCTCTATTATTAATGGCAGTACTAACTTGTGTTCAGTTAAATTCCTTATTGAGCATTAGCACTGCACTAGATATCTCCCATTTCATCTCCCTTCCGTAAACCATAGAGAGTAAAGGGATCTGTGAGAGGAGAGATTACGTAGGCATGATCCAATCCAAATCTTCAGCTGCCCCTTTATTTCAAGCGGAAACCAACGCTTCTAATGGACTGTGCAGCAGACCAATAGAAATAATCATCAGCTCATTCTGAAATCATTCTGGGTCCATCAGTCACCAGGGGTAGACCAATCCAATAAGTCCAATCTCCCTGTAGTGAGTGGTGGCAGTAGAGAATCCCATAGAAATTGGAGTGTGATTTGACCATGTCAAAGGGGACACTAAAGACCCCCCCAATTTTAGATCACATTGTCACTGCTCTGACAGGAACACCAAATCCAGAATGTGACCATTCTCCCAGGTCCATCTTGATGAACAAGATCTCACAACTGGGGACCTCTGAGGTATGCCCCCTGAAAACTATAAGAGATCCTCTGATAACAATCGCCACACCCCTGCTCCAGAATCTCAGCTGATGCCACACTTGAAACTCAGCTGGGCAAATTTCAGAAAGGGCAAAACCCAGGCAGGTCTCAGTAATGCTGTACATTCCAGGTTGACTCTTATCATCAAATCATGAATAAGAAGGTCTTGTTATAGACCAATCTAGCATTCCGTACTAGCAGCTGGATTTATGATTTATGTTACTTAGGCATTTTTATTGAAATAGACATTCATTATGTTATATAGTTTTAATTCTAATCTGTATTCTGTGTAATTATTAATTGGTACATACTGTGTAAATAAAGTGACATCTTACAGTTAAAAGAGAAAAAGAAAAGATTAGTCGTGTTGTAGTAATTTTGTTCTATATTCTTTTTCTACTTTAATTTTTGGTGGAACGCTAGACATCTGCAGTAATTAATGAGAAACAGATTACTGAAAAATAGATGATCCATAGTGTTCTTCTTCCTGAAGTTGCACATTTTACCTTTATTGATTAAAATTTATTCTGTAATAAGCATTTTCATATTTACAGGGAAGATGGTATCATCGAAAGCAGGCTGTAAAGGAACTCCACTGTACTTTGATAAGACTGCTAAATGAGTTGTTACCATGGGAACCAAAATTAATGAAGGCATTTCATAGAAACAGGTAATTAACTGAATCTTTTTGGTAAATGTAAAATGTAAGAATTCACCAATCTTTTACTTGTTTATAAATATTAATATGAAAATTAAAAAAATCTTACTATCTACAATGTTCCATCAAAGGTCTCGCTTAAAAAAAGACTATGATGACTTCAGGCGGCAACCGGATCATGATAAATTTATTAGAGAACAGTGGACTAATGAGGACAGTGAAATAAATATTGTCAAAGAAATTTCCAGTACATTTACCAGTGAAACTTCAGAACACACAGAATTTTTTAAAAGAGACTATATGGATACGGGTAAGTGCTTTTGTTACCCTGTAACCAAAATGAAATTTGATAATAAAATAATTATCTGTTTTATATTAACCATTTATTTTGTTTTAGAGTATTGTGCAAATTCAGGCGACATTAATTACAGCATAGCCTGCTGGCAATTTTGACAAATCAACTTATGATGTTTTCCCAGGTCCCAATGGTAAAAAAAGTTCATTCATTCTTTCTTTCTTTCCCTTTGGGGAAGAGAGGGATGCTGATAGGTAACCCTGGCAAGATGTTTGTTCATACTTTTGACTGAAACAGTTTCAGATTTTTAAACAAATCCCCTCTTCCCCAGGATAAACAATGAGATATTATCTCTGTTGAGTTGATTAAATAATTTCAGGAAATGTTTGAATATTAAATTGAGTATAAAATAAATGAAGATTTACAGAACTAAAATAATTATGTTTTTGAGCACATCATAAATTGTACTACCAAAACTTCTTTTGTTGATTGGTACAACAGTGTTAGTGTGATCTGATCAATTAAAAATTATTGTTTGCTTTTCTAAAAATGCTTCCCTTCTTGGTTCTTCTTTTCCTCCTAGAAGACATGAACTCACCAGAAATGGACCTTGGTACAGGAAAATCCAGACCACTTAAAAAAGATTTGACTTGTAGAGAAATGCAGAAGATAGTGCCTAAATCTGTTAAACGCCAATCCAAGCAAAACTATTACCTAGATGACAGCACAAATGATTTTTTACCAAGGAAAAAGCTAAAATTAAGCACAAATGATGCTACCTTCTGTAGTATTGAAAATGATCTGTCAACTGAAAGCTGCTTGAATAAGCAGATAGAATCTTCAGCTTCAGAATCATTGGACATGACAGACTCTACGGCATATGTACCACATTTAATAAAAGGGACCAAACCTATCCAGGCCTTGCTTGCTAAGAATATTGGGAACAAAGTGGCCTTAACAAGTCAGTTGCCATCTACAGTAGGTAGAAGCACTTTTACTTCTGAAAAACTGATTATATCAACAGTCGGTTCTTCTCCAATTAAACCAGAATTGACCTGCCAGACCAGTTCAAAGAGTTCTTTGCAAGTGTTGTACAAAATGCCAACTGGCCGTTGCATGCCAGTAGACTTGCACAATAATTCAGTGAAGATTCAGATGCAGCCTGTAGTTGATGGTAAGTCAGGAGAAAAAACCACAGGAGAGAAAATCATGCAGCAAGTCCTTATTTTGCCTAAAAATTTTCTTATCCAGCACAGAGAAAGTAAAAGTGGAGCAAAAGAAAACCAACCCTTACAGCAAAATACAATTGAACAACACTGCATTTCTCTTCCACAATCAACAGATACCAACACTACTTTAGTCCCTCCTATTCCAGCTTCTTCAATAAATGCTGTTACTACACTTCTGCCTAACACAAATGTTAAAAAAAATATTATACAGTTGCCACAAGGGCCTGATTCAGTGAATAGAATTTCGCTGCTCCCCTCTGTCATTTCCACTAGTAACCCATTAGCATCAGTAGTGAAAATGAACCAAAGCGAGACTGTAAAAATTACCAAGACTGTTGTTTCAGCTGCCTCCTCCCCTGTTGCTTTACCTATTGTTTCTTCAGCAGTTCAGACTTTGACAACAGTATCACAGAGTGTGACCTCTTACACCAGTTCCTCCTCACAAAATACTGCTGATATTAGTGAAACAAAACAAGAGCTGAAAACAATCTGCATAAGAGATTCACAATCTATCCTTGTCAGGACACGTGGTGGGAACACAGGAATCGTAAAAGTGCAAACAAATTCAGAACCAATTTCTGCTAGTAATTTCTCTCCAAGTTCTGTTTTTACATATTCACCCCAGCTTCAAGCATTTTTAATGCCCAAATCCACACAGTTATCAACTTCTACTGTTTCAGCTGTGACAAAAGCGATACCTAGCTTCCCAACACTTGCTCAAATGTCTCCAGCAACTTCTTCTATCCCAACTATTTCCTCTTGTGCAAATCCAAAAATGGGGAAAGACACCACAGTCACATTTGGGCAGTCTCATAATAGTGGTGTGGTGAATCAAGGAGTGTCAAAAACTCTACATGGATCCTCCTCTCCATTCTTATCTTCCATGTCGTCAAACATTGTAATGACAACTCCACCAAACAGTTCTGGTAATGCAGTGAGCTTATCTACAGAAAATGTTGGGAAGAGTTCCACCTGTTGTACTACCCAGGCTTCTTTTATTAATCAACAAGTCAATGTAAATAATGCAAAATATTCTGTTGCACAGCCTGAAGTCACTTCCATTACCAGCAGGGGTCTGGGTAGTGCCCAAGTTCAAAAACTTATGTTAGTCACAAATCCTTCGCTTCTTCCTGTGTGTGGAGCTACAGGAGTCAACTTAATTCCTACTCCAACATCCACTGGTGTTAGTGCGCAAAAACTGGTTTTCATTAATACTCCACTTGCCAGTATTCAATCAAATGCAAATGTAACAACAGAACCACTTAAACAGACTTTCCCTCCTTCCATTGGTAAGACATATGTTAAAAGCACAGAGAAACCTCAGCTCGTCCTTCTTCCATCTACTGTGGGATCATCATTAAAAGTAAATACGTCGCCAACTGTTTCTCAAGTAAAAGATGTAAAAATAGGTCTTAATATTGGTCAGGCCTTTATAAATAGCACAGGCAATGCTCAGAATGTTTCAACGGTTAACATGCAGTCTACAGCACCAAAAGATTTGGAAGATAAAAATAATCATAATGTAATTTTCCCATTATCAACTAGTAGTGGTTTAGTTCCTATATGTTCAAGTTTGCCATGTCAAAGCATTGCAGCAAAAGGAGTAAATACCATTACAGTAACCAGCAGCCCATGTTTAGATCCTACTTCTGTGACACTGAGTGGAACTACTACTGGAACACGGCCTACTATTTTGGCTGGTGGAATGGAACCCTCAGCAAAAATAATACCAGTTTTAACTACACGGTTGTCCTCCTCTAATGTTGGAAGTACTATGGCTATATCAACTGTGAAAACAGGGCACCTAGCTTCATCTGTACTGATTTCTACTGCTCAACCAACAGTTTCCCATTCAAGTTTATCATCTGCTTTTCAGTTGCCAGTAACAGTTTCCTTGCCTGGACCAGTGAATGGTGTCCCTAAAATGTTGCATACAGTCCCTCAATTGCCAGCAATTCCACCTACTTCGCAATGTGTGTCCCATTCAAAAAGTCAGCAATCCACCCTAGCTCAGTTTCAGCCTGCGGGAATTTCAGCTGGAGTGCCAACAAATGGAAGTACTCCAAAACTTCAAAAAGCATCTCCAAATGCAAGTAAAGTGATTAATTTTTCTAATTTAGTTCCTCTGCCTTGCCCACCAGTGCCACTTAATGTAAAGCCAGTTCCAGCTTTCTCCTGTTCTCCTGGTACTGCTACAATTCAGACTGTTCCATCCTCACCATCAGTAGTTAATAATGTAGGCAGCCAATTAAATGAATCCCATATCCAGCAGAAAATAATAATTAACACCTGTACACCTTTGGCACCTGGAACTCAGATAATGATCAGTGGTACTCGTTTTGTTGTTCCATCTCAGGGCCTTGGAGCTGGCAGTCATGTTCTTCTCATTTCTGCAAATCCAAAAATTGGACCTCTCTTAACTGTTAGTAATGGCCATGGATTTCAAGGTGTATCGTTTGCTGCTCCCACTCCCCAGAAGACTACACAAGTGATGGGTAATTCCTTAAACTGGCAGCCATCAAAACTGCCTTTAAAAAGCTCTACCAAAATTGTGAACTCTCTTGGGATTGCAAATCCTGTGCCTATTGTTCATGCTACTCCACAAATAATTGCCAATACTTCAAAGTCAGGCACTCCATCTTTTGCAACAACACTGTCTACATCTTTGGTAGTGGTCACCTCATCTTCTACTCAAACTAAAACAACTTTAGCTCCTACAACCCACACTAGTACCTCACAGCTACAAAACAGTAAGTCTGTATTGCACCTAGATACATCTATTAAAAAACTGATGGTCAGCCCTGAAGGAGCCATTTTGAATGCTATAAAGACTCCAACATCAGAAACTTCATCTCTGTCTTCATCCTTCTCTGCTGACCTTATTTCTACAACTAAGAATTCTGCTGTTGTCTTCCCCAGTTTTCTGAAGTCCAGCATAGGTGTCCCAGACACAGCTGCGTCTTGAATTTCACATAAATGAGCCGTTGAAATGTTGGGGCATTTGTATGTGTGTGTGCGTGTGTATGTGTATAAAATTAATTTATAATTGTTTTTTTAAAGTACACTGTTTGAAACATCTGACTTATGTCCATGAACCCAAGGCATGTAATGGCATGTTTTGAGCAGATGAAGCAATGAAGCAAAAAAATATTTTTGCGTATCATTGAGAATTCATGAGTGGAAGGGATCCAGGATGACAGTAGATAGCAGCTACACAGTTTGCTGTTAACAACAAAATGTTACCTGTTAACATGTTGAAACACCTGTCAACATCTCAAGGATTTGTGTGCACAAAGCCATCATTGGTTTTTTATTTTTAATTCATGTTAGATTGAGAATCATTTCGGTTTTCCTTTTTTCAAAAAATGGTGAGAAAGCACTTCTTGAAATATCTTTCAGAGCAAAACTTTTAAAGGCTTTTATTAAAGTGGGAGAAAAACTGTTCAGAGATATAGAAAGCAATGTTTGGTTCTTGGTTAGCACATTTACTGGGATCTGTTCTTTCTCATAATTTAAAAATTTTCTATTTTGTTTTCAAATGTTCCCATGTTCTATATTAATGTGTTGTAAAAATGCAATCTATGGTGTAAAATTGTACATAATCCCAATTCCTTAACAGTATGGACTAAACCATGTGTAAAAAGAACTACTCTTGTCTTATTTATGTTTTGTTTACATAATGTATAGTTTTTTAAGTATTTTAGTAATTTTGGATAAGTGTACTGTTTAGCAATAATGCAGAAGGATCTGTATGTAATAAACAAAGTTGCTGTAATTCTGCTTCATGATGCTCTGTGGAGAAAGGATATTTTGTCAGTAAGATATCTATATACTTGCATTAAGAAATCAGTGGAGGTTTCCAAATATTACATAATAAGCACACATATTTAGACATGATCCAATATAACATGGCATTTACCCTTAAGTAAATGGCTCACAATTATGATTCTTGTTTTTCAACTTTTACAGCTCTTCTATGTATCATTTATAGACCTCTTAAAGTGTTATAGTAGCCATAGAACATGAACATTTGTTCACAATTTCAAACGGGTTATTAAAAGATAAACATTTCTGTTTGTCTTGATTAAAATGACAAAGAAACCTAACTAGCTAATACACTATGATGTACAATAATGCAATCATTGTGAGGTAGACAATGAAGAGAGTTGACTTTGTTTGAAGAATTGCTGAATTGAAAATATTACTCAGTCATCTGTTCCTCACCATAAGTTCCACTCTATTCATACTTTCATTAGGATTTCACAAACAAGTACTTAAAGGGCAGTTTGCATCACAATTTTTTCCCTATCCCTCCCCCCTTTTCTGGATGTATGTTTAGTTGTAGTTCTCATAAGACAAGTATTAGCAATGCAGTAGCCACCACAACCAATAGCTCTTGCCACTTCAAACCACCTTCTGTTTTTTGTTTTCTATTATATCATTGTAAATTCAACACACTAAGTATTTATATCTGGAACAAATCAGAGAGAAACCAATGGTATATCTATGAGTTGTATCTTCTGAAAACAAGCTTCATATTGGTGGTTTGCAGCTGTACCTCTTGATAGAATCGCTGGATCTGCTCATGGCTAAACACCTGTGGATGGTGGCCATAAAGCACTCTTAATCTGAAATTTACTTCCAGATTTCAAAATTAGGATTTCCTCTTGGATCAGAAATAGGAGCACTGTGATTAACACAGAACTATCATAGTACATAACTGTCAAACATTCCTCTCATTAAGATTATTTAATGCTGCCTTTAGGATTATATATTAATATATTCCCATAATGCCAACTAGAAATATATAAAAATCTTAAAAGTGTACTTTTTGGAAATAAGGATCTGAGATTTAGATTTTCCCACCAGAGAGGACTTGGAGTGAACCTTAGAATATAATATCTCAGATTCATATGCAATTTTATATATAGTAGACCTGGCTGATTCCATAAGGCAGGGGTGTCAAACTCAAGGCCCAGGGGCCGGATCATTGTAGCTCCCCCAAGCTCCATTTTCACTGGCAGAGGGCAGCAAGAAGCCGTCGCGGCTGAAAACGGAGCTTCAGAGCCCATTTCGCTAGCAGAGTACTCGGGCCACCACAGACGCCCCCCATACAAGTGATGTCAAGTTGGCCACACCCACAGTGGCCATGCTCACCCCGGCCCCCAAAGTCAAACACAATCCTGATGCAGCCCTCAATGAAATCAAGTTTGACACCCCTGCCATAAGATAGAAGAGTATATAGGTCTCAAACCTTCTCTCCAGAAGCCTTCTGAAAATTCACCTTGGTTTACCTCCTGATTTGGAATAGCATCTTGAGAGTTTCAGTTTTCCCCACCTGTTTCCTGAGGTACTTCAGTTATCATCTTCCTCATAATCCTGGTGTATGAAAGACATAGCCTCTTATGCCCCAGGCTGTCTTTCTGAAAATTAAATGGTAATGCCCCGCTCCCAAAAAAGGAAATGATATTTATATTGCAATCCTTTGATCATATTACTAAAAAGACGAGATTGTTGTTCTTTGGCATAAATGGCAGATGTGGTTACTTAATATAAATTCTGAATTGATACAACATTCTTTGCGACTTGGACCTCCTGTTTCTTTACAGTTGCTTTACAAATAACTAGGAGTCAGGTGAGACAAATAAATCTGTGGTGTCTTTTTCTTAAAAACAAACTCGTGTCCAGGAAATAATAACTAATCCTTTCTTAATGCAATTTTCCAGATTTGTTGCCTCAGGTTTTTGCTAGCTGCAGAGAACATTGTAACTTGTTCTTTTGCTAAAAGTGACCCAATTTAGATTGCTTAAGAGGGCATAACAGAGAGAGAGTTAATAAAGTGGAGTTTTATGTTCGAGATTCAAATCCTATATGGTAATTTTACAATAATGAAAAGGTTATCAATCTATAATATAACCAGTTAGATCGTTCATCAAACAGGTAGGTATTCATCAAGCACTTCAATTACCCCTAAATATATAACCGACGGCAGCTTAAGTATCCAAATTTGAATTAAAATTGCCAGATTTAGATGCAAAGTTAAATGCATATTTATTTAATAAGCTATTTTTAAATGTTCTTTTTAAAAAGCCCCTAAGTGGTATATGTGACATGCAACAGTGATGTGACACCAGTGCAAAATACCATGGAATATAGAACAAGAAAATGCCATCCACACACAAAGTTCATTAATGTGAAAATGCTGACAAATATGGACACTAAGGGTGACTGAACGTTGTCATCTAACCAATAGTGTCCCTGAATGTTCCTACCAGTACCCTCATCTACCACTCTCACATAAGGGTGTGAGTTTGCGGGAATCTAATTGCTGAAAGACCGACAAAACTATAATAGCAGACCTTTAACAAATCCTACTATAACAAAATCTGAAGAATCTAGAAAATGAAGAGCATATTTTAGCAGCTTTTCCAAATAAAATGCAAATGATTGTTTCCGGAGCCTTTTAATACCTGATTAATTGCGCTATTTCTTTCATATTAATATTTGAATTGTTTTCCATTTCATTTTGAGAATATATCAATATTTTGTTGTGAATTATTCTGAATAGGGTTTCAAAATAGCATAATGTTGATAGTTAATTACTTAATTCCCTCTCCAAAGCTGTTATCCTAGCTATTCTTTCTCCCAGTACAGGTAGTCCTTGATTACAACACTTAATTTAGTGACCCTTCAAAGTTACAACATCACTGAAAAGAGTGATTTATGACCATTTTTCACAGTTATGACCATTGCAGCATCCCTATGACCAGGTGATCAAAATTCAGATGCTTGGCAACTGGTTCATATTTATGACCATTGCTGTGTCCCAAAAATCATATGATCCCCTTTTGGACCTTCTGACAAGCAAAGTCAATGGGAAAGCCAGATTCACTTAACAACCAGGTTACTAATTTATCAACTGCAGTGATTCACTTAACAACTGTGGCAAGAAAGGTCATAAAATGGGACAAAACTCATTTAACAAATTCTCACTTAACAACATAATTTTGGGCTCAATAACAATAGCACTTAGATTTATATACCGCTTTACAGTGCTTTTACAGCCCTCTTTAAGTGGTTTACAGAGTCAGCTTATTGCCCCCAACAATCTGGGTCCTCATTTTACCAAACTCTGAAGGATGAAAGGCTGAGTCAACCTTGAGCCTGGTGGGATTTGAACTGCCAAATTGCAGGCAGCCGGCAGGCAGCAGAAGTAGCCTGCAATACTGCACTCTAATCACTGTGCCGCCAAGGCTGCAGGGATTCACTTAACTGAAGCAAGAAAGATTGCAAAATAGGGCAAAATTCACTTAACAAATGTCTCATTTAACAACAGAAATGTTGGGCTCAACTGTGGTCATAAGTCGAGGACTACCAAAGGAAAAAGGCAAGCAGGAAGACATATTCTGAGATCGTTAAAAGTTTTTTCACCCTAAAGGACTACAACCATATCTTGAAAGTGAATATGTGCACATTATATACCAAATTGGACTGAAGATAGACCATAATTTCAGATCTTATTTTTCTTTAGACAACTTGCAAAATGTAGAAGTGTTTTTCACTGTCTTCTCCAAGGAAATGTCTATTTCCAAGTTTACATCATAGCTCTGGATTTCCCAAGTGGTTTCCACAATCCTGATGAATTTTCTAAATCATCCAAGGTTAACTAAATTCCCTTTTTATTTATGGAGATTCTCAGTCATCCTGGTCATGATTGTCCCAAAGGTGCTTTTCCAAAAGGCAACTGGACTTTCTTGTTTTTATTTGAAGACGTTTCGCTTCTCATGCAAGGAGCTTCTTCAGAGCTGAAGAAGCTTCTTGGATGAGAAGTGAAACGTCTTCAAAGAAAAACGAAAGAAGTCCAGTTGCCTCTTGAAAAAGCACCTTTGGGATTCTCTTTTTGTTAGTATTGTCATGGATTTCAAGAATACTGGTTTTGTTTTTTGTAATATTTATTATATATATAAAAATGAAATAGCATGTTAAGGTTAATCTTATATTGAATGAAGATATATAAAATGAAGATACATAGGCTACAGCTTCAACATCTTAGGCATTTCATGCAAAAGAGGACAGTTACATTTTTCTAAGCAAGTATTTTTGAAATATTCATATTAGCTCGTGTTTTCTCTCCCAGATGCTCCTAGAAATTACTTAAAGTAAGCAAGCACTTAAGTAATTCCTCCTGTTTATGGTGCATATGGTGGTGGCAACAGGCTGCTGGAGCTCTTATCATAGGCTGGTGGGGCATCTGGCACCTGCATCAATGAAAGTTGAATAAGGGAGAAGTTAATAATATGCATAGAAAAGTAAAACTTCAAAATTCCCAATGCTAATGTAAAAATGTTTCCGAAGAATAATCCCCCACCATAATTAATTTCCAGAGACACAACTGTGCTACTTTTTAGCAGTCAATATGTCAAGGAGTTATGCAAGTAATATATTATTGCATATATTTCAAGATTCATATTCATCAATTGTTGTAAGCATTCATTGTAGGAAATAGTTTGTGTACTGGATGGTAGCTGGAAGTGTGTGTGTGTGTGTGTGTGTGTACTATTGGTTGGTTTCCAATATAAAATTATGCTTCTTTGTTCATCTAAGAGACAACCAAGTGTTTAAATGAAAGATTTCAACGTTCAATATTCAACCTTTAAATTTAAAAAGCTGATTCCCAGGAATAAGCTTTTACATCGGGGTCCCCAACTCCCGAGCTGTGGCCCATTACTAGGCTGTGGTGGCCTGTTTGCAATTGGGCCACACATGCAGCAGGCGAGCATGTGCACGCACATGCAGCTCCACATGCACAAGCAGCCTGCTCCAGTTGTGTGACAGGTGTGCACAATGGCCGCTTGAACAAATGGAATTCCGTGCATGAATGCACACAACTGCCACTCACACAGAACCATCCCCTCCCCCCCTCCGCCAGGCCCACCAAGCCAAAAAGGTTGGAGACTGCTGTTCTACAGAATAGACCAACAGTTGACGTCGCTAATTGCCCCAAGTCCCACATAAAACCATTCATATTCATCATAAATATAGCTAAGAGTCCATTCTTGGGCAATGACTTCTCCTTTTCATGGGCCTTGGATAGTAGACCTCTGGTTTTGTAAAAGAAACATAAACCACTTACCAAGCAACAGAATGCCATTGTGATACAATCATAGAGACCCTGTCCAGATTTATCTCTATCTTTTAGAGCACCTAATCTACTAATTTTTCCATTGCACAAACTAGATAAACTAGAGAAAATAATAAATTAATTGGATATAATTGACATCAAAAAGGACAGACGCCCACTATCCCTAAAATATTTCAAGTGCCCAGAGTATCTTGTCACTGACCTCAAGGTGGCAGCTTAAAAAAAGGAATTTCAAAAATGAATTTAGTAACAACATAGCTGAATTAGAATTCAAAGTTTTTAACATAATTTCTACATAATAGATCAAATGATTTGGCTAAAAAGTAGTTCAGTCAGACATCCTTATATTGTTAGTCAAAATGTACAATACAGTGTTTATACCTTTTGACTGACAGTACAAGGATGTCTCATTGAACTAACTTTTTTAATTTTTGGCCACTTAGATAAATCTGTTTCTTTTTCCTATCCTGACCTTCTCTTTCTCTCGTCCCCAAACCACTGTGAATGTAGAAGATTACCATGTGTGAATATTCTAAAAGGAAAACTCTGGAGGGTCTGCTTCCCCAAACATTCATTCTTTCTGTCAAGTCCCAAAAGGGCAAAAGGGAATATTTGTGTGTACAGAGCAGTGTTTGGCTCTCCAGGACTATTTTTCTGTAAGTCAAAACCCAAAGGCACAGTCACAAAATGAGGGAAAATAATTGCTCCCTAGTTCATCAAAGAGTCAGATGAAATTATGTTGCAGTACAAATCTGTAAGTAGTTTACTAACAGGAAAATAAGTGTAATATTTTGATCACCATTGGATAATCAACAGTGGTAATTGAATATATTCAATAAAAATGGAAACATGTTTATAACTAAAATGTAAGCCTGAAGGGACTGGATGTCAATTTTGCACAAGCTTTCTTCATAGCCATTTCCTGAAAATAAGCTATATCCTGAAAATAAACCCTAGCATGTTTTTATGCCTAATATACGCCCTATTCCCCAAAATAAGCTCTACTAAGAGCCTGGACAGCTGGCTGCCCACCCATTCCATCTGGTTGCTTGCAGTGCTGTGGCCACAAGGCAAGGTGGGGGGGGGGGTGGAGCTGCCCCACATGCCCCACACTGACTTACCTCAGGGCCCCCACAACCAGGTCATCCACACCCTAACACCTGCCTCACTGCAGCAGCAACTGGCAGCTGTGTGCACACCTGCCTTACTGTAGCAGCACTGGCAGCCATGCACAGCAGGAGCCCACGTGGCTGTTGGACCACTTCTTATACATGCTTATGGCCGCAATGGAGCAGGAGGCCGAGGGTGTGTTGTGGCCACGGCCCCAAGGCGAGGCAGGTGTTGGGTCATGAATAACCTGGCTGTGGGGGCCCTGAGGTAGGCAGGGTGCGGGGCAGCTCCACCCTCCGGCCTCACCTCATGGCCATGGCATCAATGTGTCACTTGGCCTCCTCCCCCGTTGCAACTGCAAGCAAATAGAAAAAATGGGCCTCCCCAAATGGGAAAAAAATAAGACACCCCCTGAAAATAAGCCCTAGTGCTTATTTTGGGGTCCAAAATAAAATTTTCAGGGAAACACAGGTATATAATATGTATTGCCTGCTAGAAGCAATGAATGCAGACAGAATTTTTACTTCATTTTTTATTTTAATATTATTTCATCCAATCTATATCCAGCCCATTCTTATTTTAGGACACGTATCTCTCCTAACTCTCTTTTTAAACTGACTGTCTAAACTGTAGCCTCCTGAAGCATTAATCAAAAGTAATGATAAGCAATCATCTTACCACATGACTATAGCTGCTGGTGTATTCCCGCAAGGGCAATTTGGAGTCACTGAGGGAGCTTCTGCCTTCTGAGGTGGTCAGAGAGGCCAATCCAAAATTCTTACTCTTTGGCACAAAGATCAATATTAGAAAGAGTTCAGCAAAACAGAAAGGCAGGGTATTAATCAAACAAATGAATAGAAAAGGAGATACGGAAGGGATCTTGAAATGCAAGGAAGAAAACATACTGCAACTTTAGAAACACTTTTCATCAAGAAGAGATAATACACTCTGATTATGTTAATGCAAAATGATTAACTTTCCCATGGCTATTGAGTAACTCAACTCATAGCTGAATTTGTGCCCAGGTTTAGCATCAGTGGCTATTCAGGCTTAGGTGGATCAAATGTTCTCAACCGGAAGGCCTGTGGTTCAGATCTCTTTAAAATTTGGATGCAGCTCTCAGAGACCCATCCAAATTTGTCAGCAAACCATGATTATTCATATTACAGCAACAAGAAATTATTGAATATATTGAAGTAATCATTATTTCAACATGTTATTAATTAAATCAAATTTGATTTATGACTGAATCTAATTTGTTGTACCATCCCAGATACTGGCTTCCAATTTGCTCCAGGTATAATTCAAAGTACTGCTTATTACCGTTCTCACAAATTCCTACATGGCATGGGGCCAGCACATTTGAGAGACTGCCTTATTCACACAATTCCTATCAATTACATCAGGTCAACCAGAGGAGCATGCTCCAGATCCATCTTTTTGGGATTTTTTTTTTTTTAATTGATTTATATACCGCCCTTCTCGGAGACTCAGGGCGGCTTACAATGCGTTAAGCAATAGCCTTCATTTTTTGTATGTTTTATACAAAGTCAGCTTATTGCCCCCACAAACTGGGTCCTCATTTCACTACCTTAGAAAGGATGGAAGGCTGAGTCAACCTTGAGCCTTGGAGAGATTCGAACAGCAGAAATTGCAGGCAGCTGTGTTAATTACAGGGTGCACTAAACCTCTGTACTATCAAGGCTCTTGTCATATAATGGGCCCAAAGAATAGTTGGACCTGCACTCTAGTATCATACTGCCTTGAGATTTGGCTGACCCCAACACTGTTCTTCTTTCAAAAAGCCTTGAAGACCTGGTTATTATCCCTGCAAGAGACTAGGAGAGTCAAGTTCACACTATTGGTGATTGATGCATTGGGGAATCCCTTTGATTAGTCAGTTGGAATATTTTTATACACACACACACTCACACACATTTGCATTTCCATGTGTTTTAATTCCTGTGGGCTGCCCAGAGTCACATTGGTGAGATGGACAGCCACTTAAATTGATAAAAGTAAATAACAAAACTTTGAACACGTTCTCCACAAAATCAGTCAAGATTCATGCTAACTGAGCTACCCATGTTGCCCAAATGTAGCGAACAAGATTGTAGCTGACCCAGCTAAGGACATTGTGTGAATGTAATTATAAAAGGATTCTTAAAAAGCTCCAGACCAGAATGTATTTCCTTTGGCAATGATTGGTTACAGAATATTTTTATTGTACAGCATCAAGGAAAAAGAGGAACATCACCTGAATCAGATGGTATAGATTCTAAGTAGACTTGAGTTTAGCATATTTTGTAGAAATTAAACAGTGTTCAAAGAAATGGGTCTAATAAATAATGCAATAAGAAGGCAGTTTATTCTTACCAAAAGCCTTTTATAACCACTGTGCCTTTTACAACACCAACAGCCAAGAATCAATAAAACTGCAAGAAGAACTATTAGAATTCCAATACCTGTAGCCCTGTTGAAAAAGACAAATTAATCTAATTACTGCTAAGGATCTGGAATAACTATTCTACATTTCAAAGGTACATCCAGAGAAAAAATGACTTCAAGCTTTACAAAATATAGCTTTATCATTTAAATGGACATAAAATAACAGTCTTTATTAATAAATGCATAGTTTTATAAGGAATGTATTAATATTCAAATGATTTCAGAAATTTTATTTATCTATGAAAAACTATATGCTAGAAACTCATGATCAGTTAGGTACAAAGGAATAAAGATGGACTTTTGATTACTGCAATTGGTTCAGTGCATGGAGACTCGAATCTCTACAAATGTGAAATTCATGTCAGTGTTCATATAACATGCTGAGACATTATGTAGTTAGGACTAGTGCAACATTCAAATACCAACTATGGGTTAAATTGTGGTTAAGGATTACAAACTTAATCTTAATTACAAATCATCATCTGTCATAGATTTATTCATGTTATTTCATGTCCAATGTATCAACTAGATTAGAGTTAGGGAGGTGTTAATTCAATGTTCTATTCTTCAAAGTTAGAGACTGGATGTTGAGGTAACCACCGACTGAAATTCCTCTAACTATAATATCTCTATTAATCTGTCTCTATAATTCTACAGGAAGATGTGAAAAGGTGTGGAGGGAGATTCTGGCCTTGATCAGACTATCATGTTAGTTTATTGCACTGTATTATATAATCTATTATATTATCTTATATTCGGTTATTGTATTTTTGTTGTATATGCTGTAAATTACCAATGAGATGGTATATAAATGACATGCATGCCAATTTATTTTATGAAATAGAATTATTTAGCAACTATTTTAAAAAAATCAGGAAATGTCTGCCAGAGTCTTGGTAGACCAGACCAAGAAATCAAGAAGGATGAAACTGCTTTTATTGAGAACCTTGCAAATATGATTTTTGCTGCATCTCCTCTCCTTTCTTATATTTTTGTGAATATAGGGATATGCTATCTCAGTAACTTACAAATGTGTTGTGGACTTAAAACATGTTTTTCCCTTCATTGCTTTGACAACAGAGCTCCCGTATTTCTATCAGGCTCATCTTCCTTACTCTCTATAACCAACTAACCACTATAAAATAGCCTGTAATCCTACACAAATGCGAATAAAAGTTAGTTGCATTTCCTGGTACTGAAATGCTGGGTAAATGGTTTACCCATAGTTAGTTCATAGTACAATCTGGCATAAATTTTGCTATATATTTTCAATCCCACAACAAAGTGAGTAGCAATTGTTACATGCCTCTGCAATTCCACAAGTGAACCATATGTAGTACCAGAGAGTCAAAAAAGGACAAAGAAGAAAAGCACTCACTTCTGTTGTCCTTTCCCCAAATGAAAAGCATATATTTCACAATGAATTTTTTTTTAAAATTGTCCCAAAATGCTTACTCTTCTGGAGAAAGAGAAGTATATCCCTTCCCCCTACCAAAGTTGCCATCTAGGTAATGCTCTCCCCTAGGCATCTTGTTTTGTTCAGGTCTCACCTAAAAAAACAAATAGAACAATGCCTGGTCTGTACAATATATTTCCATAAGATTTTTGAAATGAAATGCAAAAATATAGTGTTATTTTTCAGCAGCATGAAAGGTGTTTTGATGTAACTATAGTATAACACAAGCAGCAGCATGCTATGTTCTCATCCCCAACCTTCTGAGGAAATCTAAAAATCTCTTTAGATGTTTCCGTTTTAAAGTACTATTTTCCTCCTTTCCACCAACAAGGTTTTATTAGGGCTATGATCCAGCAGGCTTTATCAATGTTGTGGTTGGTGCTGTGGTGAGGAGTGGGACTCCTGCCTTGGTTAGACTAGAAGACCTCTAAGGTCCCTTCCAGTCCTGTGATTCTATGATTTCTATCAGCTACTTCAGGCTTTTGCTCCTCCTCATTTCCAGTTGCTGAGAATAACTCTCCATGGTAATTTTGCCTTGGGCCTTAAGAGAAATAAGGCACTCAGCTTTCACAGAAACATCTCCTCCCATTATTTCTGCCTGGTGCTTTCTGAAGTGCTTGTTAGAGCTTGTGCAGATTCCTTATAAACATGGCCTTTGTACTTTTGAAAAAGTACTGTACTGCACTCTCTTATTTAGAGAATGGTAATTTGATTCTGCCCGGAAGGCTATTTTCATTTTAAAATGAAAGCTTATGTGATAATTCTCTTGATCATACAAACAATGATTGATTCTGTTTACATATTTCAAAGAGGTGATACTTAGAACATATGATCTGCCCACAGAATGCAACAATTCAATTAAAAACGAAACAACTCACAGAAGAATGTGAAAGGCCTTTACTTACGGAAAAAACTGGAGAGCAGCTGCCAATCAAGTCAAGCTTGCTGGACAAATGCTTTCTAATCAGTATCAGAAACACAAAAACAGGACTCTAGGTTAGATCTTGCAATTAAATTTTGCTGTGAAGAGCAGATTATTCAATTTTCAATGGTATCTGAATGTAAAACCCGTTTTATTTATAAACTGAAGAAATATGGTTCAAGTTATAACAGGTAAAAGGATTTCAGATCTTGGTTTTATATCTTATATACAGCTTCTAATAACTCTGGGGCAAGTGCACCAGACTGATGTTTTTACAACCATATCACACAATATATTTAATGTGGAGTGGAACAAGTGTGTCTCTTTGGGAAATAAAATACATATAGACAAGATAAAATGTCCATGCTACAAGTATGGTATCTCTCAACAGAACCTCTCTTTTTGCATGTTCTGTGTACTCTCTAAGTCTGATCCAGAAAGTGGCTTGAGCAGATGTGGAGATATAGGAGGAACTACAGTGAAGGAACATGCAAAAAATCCATAGCTTGAACAGAAATACACTCATTTCATTTTGTATATATCCTGTAATCAAGAAGTGGTAATGAGCTTTGTTAAGATATGCTTTGTCTAATGTCATGATCTCTCAAACTTTTTAATGGATTTGTTTTGTTGTCATTTATATAAATACCCAAAGAAAATTAATCATCCATACTAAATCAAGCTGAATGGTTTAATCTAATTTGTATGACTTCAGCCTTAGACAAATAAATACACACTTTCGGTTAGCCGCAATTACACTATGTAAATCCAATTAAAGGCAGTAAACAGGCTAACATTCTGCAAGATAAGAATCAAAACAGCATTCATTCATTTAACTTTATTTCAAACAAAGATCACACAATTAAAAAGCAGCAACAAAGAAAAGTACCATAAACATTCATTAGTTTTGATGACTGTCTATTTACATGTATATAGAATGTTAGTTTTAATATTAAATTTTAAAACACTAAAATCTGATTTCACAATAGTCTAAAAACAAAAGTGTGGTATTCTTTAATAGCAAAGTAGTAAATTATGCACTGAACTAAAATAATGACTCCACCAATTGCATCAAATTTATTTTTCAGAAATAAAGAATCTTACAGACCTGAAATTTAATATAAAACCTAGCAAACAAATATTGTGAGTCTTACCAGTTCCTATACTTCCAGGGTCTGGCTGAGCTATGAAAGGTTTTCTCATTTTTCCTTAGGATTAGCTAACTCTCATGACTATCACGAGTGAATTCCTGGCAATGCAGCTTTTGAACACTATAATTGGCATGATTTAGCTATAAAATGGCTTTTATTCCTCAGTCTAGCTTTTCCCCCACTAGTTTAAACAACTTAATACTAAATCATCTTTCTTAATCTAATGCTCTCCAGATGATCTGTCTGGGCATTTTGGGAGATAAATTCCCAAGTCATCTAGAGAAAACAAGCTGGAGAAGGTTGTTTTGACCCTATAATATGGTAGCCACTATTGCTATTGGCTGCAAGTAGCCTAAACTTGTTTTCTTGTTGTTTTAATCTATTGGTTCTGATTTTTTAGGGCAGGTGTCCCCAACCCCTGGGCCACGGCCCACTACCACCAGCCCACCATTCATGTGGCCTGGTTCCCCTCTCCCTCCCAGCTAGGCTGCCAAGCCGCAAAGGTTGGGGACCGCTGCTTTAGGGCAATGGTTCTCAAGGTGGGCCATATTTTTAAGAGGCCACAGTCTTTTTTAAGATGCAGTATTAAACGTCATAAACAGGGAAAACCGTAAAGTACCTTTTCCTGGCTAATAGGGACTATAAAGGGGTGGTCGCAGAGGTAAACTAAGGGGCTATGTACAAAAAAAGGTTGAGAACCCCTGCTTTAGGGTATATCAACTAATTTTTCCATATGATCAACTTTCAGATATTTGAAAACTGCTACTGTATCTCCCTTCAGCTGTCTCTTCCCTAAATTATACTTATCCAATTCCTCACAAAGCTTCATTTCCAGACCCCTTATAATCTCTATAACCAACTTGTCACTGTTGGTTTTGAACTGTGGTGTTCAGAACTGAACACTGTACTCCAACTGGGACTGACTAGTGGATGGAAGAAATAATTATGCTCTGTGATCTGACAGCGTTCTCTTTGTATCAGCTGTTTATTAGCAGATTACAATTAGCAGCCACAAAGAAGGCTGAATGTATTGGACTTCATTCTAGCTAGATAGACCAACCTATCTTGTAGAACAGTTGTTGTAGGGGAAATAAGAGCCCTAGTTGTGCCATTTTAGGCTCCTAAATTAAAGATGGGATGCAAAACAAACAAATACATCTAAGTTGCAAGGCTCAGTTCTGTCCACTTCTACATGGGAATAAGTTCAGCTGAACTACAGACATTTCTCTATAATACAGGTGTCAATTATTATTATTATTATTATTATTATTATTATTATTATTATTATTATTATTAATTTCAATTTATATACCGCCCTTCTCCTATTGGACTCAGGGCGGTGCTCAGCCAAGGATAAAAAACATACCAATACAAAATTTAAAATCAATTAAAAGAATTATACAGCTTTGGCCCACAGTTTAAAACAATCCAATTAAAACCCAATTTACACTTAAAAAGCTAAGAAGCTAAAAAGAGTTAAAGGGGGGGGCAGGTTCACACAGCCCTGCTTGATGGAAAAGAAAAGTTTTTAGGGCACAGCAAAAGGCCCGGAGATCTGGTATCCTTCGTATCTCTGGGGGCAAATCGTTCCAGAGGGCAGGTACTGCCACAGAGAAGGCCCTCTCCCTGGGGGTCGCCAGCCGACATTGCCTGGCTGACAGCACCCTGAGGAGTCCCTCTGTGGGAGCGTACTGGTCAGTGGGAGGCTATCGGCGGCAGAAGACGGTCTCACAAATACCCAGGTCTGATGCCATGGAGCGCTTTAAAGGTGGTAACCAACACCTTGAAGCGCACCCGGAAGACCACTGGAAGCCAATGCAGCTCGCGCAGGAGAGGCATCACATGGAAGCGCCCTCTTGCTCCCATAATCCCCTGCGCAGCCGCATTCTGCACCAGTTGGAGCCTCCGGGTGCTCCTCAAGGGGAGCCCCATGTAGAGAGCATTGCAGTAGTCCAGGCAGGAAGTGACGAGCGCCTGAGTGACTGTGCGTAAGGAGTCCCGATCCAGAAAGGGACACAACTGGCGAATCAGGTGGACCTGATGAAAAGCCCCCCTGGCCACGGCCGTCATATGCTCTTCTAAAGACAGCTGTGTATCCAGGAGGACGCCCAAGTTGCGAGCCCTCTCTGTGGGGGCCAATGATTCGCTCCCAATTGCCAGCATTGGCAGCGTCACATTGCCATCATGTGATGTTTCATGATGTTTTTTCCCTTCTCAGACTGGGGTGGGCATGGCTTGCGCATGGCGCATCTGGCCCACGGGCCACCAGTTTAACACTCCTGCTCTATAACATATAATTAGCTATATATTATTAATTAATTCAATTTAACTTATATGCTGCCCCTTGCTATTGAAGTGACTCCTGGCAGCTATATAGTCTCTTTGCACAGATGATCCATACATACGATGAAAGCACAAAGGTTTCAAACCACTGAGTGGTCGGTTGGTATCATTTTCAGTTCTTGAACTTTTAGTACGAGCTCTGGGAGTTGGCATTAATGTTCAAAAATGATTTTCCTCATTGGTGAGTGTTTATGGTACTGTTGAAAGCTTTTTGTGTTTTACAACTCTCATAAAAGAATGTGGACCAGATTTGGTTTACGTATACATAAACAGTTCTTTTTTTTTTATTGAAAAAGTTTTAAAACAAACAATAACCCCCCCTCCCAACCCCCCTCCCCCTCCCCGACTTCCCAGAGCAGAACACAAGGTATTTCTATTGACCTTTAACAATAAACTAAATTGCATAACCAATCATTAAACTAACACCCCCTAAAAAAAAATTCTTAACCCCCCATATATAAAATCCTATTTCTTAAACATAATACTTCTAATATCACTTATATAGCGCTTATACAAATAAAAGAGATCATTCATAAGTTATTTGATATTTTTTGGTCTGATAAACAGTTCTTTGTTAATGTTAACAGCACATAGTCACAAATAACCCATGTGACAATATAACTAATACGTTCATATCTTGCCAGGGGCTGATTTAACATTCAGAGAATTTAATATTCTAAATGTCAGTGGTTTGCTTTTCTTAGGTGCAGTGAGAAATCACTACCAATGCAAAGTCAACCAAGTTGACCATTTCATAAGAGGGAGCATAATATTGAATTATTCAACCTGATCTTAGGTAGGCTTAACAAGGTAATTCTGTCCATGCCTACTCTGAGGTAAGCTACACTAAAATCAAAAGGGGGCAGGTATTCCTGTGATGGCTAAGAGCATCAGTGGCCCTGCAAAAGATCTCCTTGCAGCTTCTCAATTTTTTAAAATTATATTCCCTTTAATTCTAAAAAAGGAAATGGAAATTCTTTTGTTATTTAACATACATCATTGTTAATGTCTGGCAGCTTTTACCATACCAGGAAGAATCAACTAACTTATATCTAGTATTGGAGATGTGTGTACAGTATCCATGAAACAATTATAAAAAAAGATTGATAACTTGTTTACTGAGAAATAAATTTATGAATTTCTAAAGATCTTTTTTTAATGCTATATAAGGGCTTCAATACAGGTAGTCCTCGACTTACGACCACAATTGAGGCCAGAATTTATGCCACTAAGAGGGAAATTTATTGTGAGTTTTGTCCCATTTTACAATTTTTCTTGCTACATTTCTTAAGTGAATCACTGCAGTCATTAAATTATTAACACGATTCTTAAATGAATCTGGATCCCCCATTGACTTTGCTTATCAGAAGGTCGCAAAAGGTGATCACATGACCTTGGGACACTGCAACTGTCATAAATATGAACCAATTGTCTAGCATTCAAATGTAAATCATGTGACCATGGGGATGCTGCAACAGTTATAAGTGTGAAAAATAAGTCATAAGTCACTTTTTTCATTGCCGTTTCAAATAGTCACTAAATGAACTGTTGTAATGGAGGACTACCTGTATCTAGTATCAAATACATGTAAAGGCTTTTAAATTGCATTTAATTCAATTTAGTTTACTTGATTTGCCATGTCTCCTAGGATATTTTTAATTACAAGTCTATCCTATCAACTGGGATATCTTCTTAACTTCCCGTACAAATACAGATAATTCTCAAAGTACGATAGGACTGCTCGATGTTACAAATGCACCCCAAAAGTGGACTTACAACAGGGCTTCAAAATTGCAACTAACAAGAGGCCTCTGCATATGCCCTGGATTTAGTCACACCGGAAGCGATAGCCATTTTTAGTCCTGTGATCTCTCTTTCGGACTCAAAAGCTGCCTGCGGTTATGGCAGGGAAAGATTTCCCTGGTCCATGTAGTCATGCGTAGTTTTTTTCCCCCCTGCTCACATTACCAATTAAGATCTGGAGACTTTGCAGCTGTCATGCTCTTTTTTTTTTCTCCTCATTGCTGCCCCCTGGAGGACTAGGTAGGTGAATCTCTCCTTGCTGCCCTTGTTGCTTCTTTCATTGCTGTTGTCTGGAGCACTGTAGTTGCCTTTGTTACGTACTATAACATATTCCTTTTTATTAAAGTATTGTGTTTGTTTGTAAGTACTGCACAAAGATAACGCTTTTTTTCATTACTGGGTTTGCTTGTGTTTGCCTTGATATTGCTTTTGAGAAATATCGGAGTGTCTACAGAAAGTATATTCAGTACTGTAAAGTTCCTTTCATTCTATTGTACTGTTTGTTTGCATGTATTTTGAAATTGCTTGCATAAAATCCCTTTGCATTCTTCAGTACTCTGTGTTTGTTTACATGTACTTGGGGATTACTGCAGAAATGCCAGCAAACGTAAAGAAAGTAAAGGTACTCTAAAGTTCTTTATAATTCTACACTTCTGTTGTTTATTTGCTTTTGCTTTGAGGATTTGTGTACTACTGTAGATTGCTTATAGAACAGCTGATGGGTAGGCGGTAGCAGTACTGTCCAGAGGGTCCACACTGGGAATCTCTGCAAATTCATTCCCCTGCCCCAATTTAAATCTGGGCACCTGCCTGGAGGCATTGCAGTTTGGAGGTGGAGGGCTGCCTCATCTTGCCAGAACAGCTGATGATCGGACAGAAACGGTTCC